GGTGCTGGTGCTGGAGCAGCACGGCAAGCTGGGGGGCTGCTGCCACACCTTCAGCGAGAGGGGCTTCGAGTTCGACACTGGTACGGCCCCCCAGGGCTGCAGGCGGGGGGTGGGGGGGGTGATGCCTCCACTTACACAAGCAGATTTTCTGCCCCAGCACCCCGGGCTCACACACCCTCCTGCTGCAGGGCTGGGTGCTGCCCTTGCTGGAACACCAGGGCTGGTAAACCCCCCAGAATCTTGCTCTGTTCCCCTGAATTTCCCCAGGATCCACCTGAGATCCTACAAAATTCCTCATAATCCATCTCAGATCCTATAAAATTTCTCATAGTCCAGCTCAAGTGCTTCAAATTTACCCATTATCCAGCTCAGACCCTACAAAATTCCTTAGAATCCAGCTCAGGTCCCATAAAACTCCCCATAATCCTGTTCAGACCCCACAAAATTCCCCATAATCCAGCTCAGATCCTACAAAATTCTTCATAATCCAGCTCAGATCTCTTCCATTTCCCCAGGATACAGCTCAGATCCTACAAAATTCCTCATAATCCAGCTCAGATCCTATAAAATGTCTCATCATTCAGCTCAGATCTTATAAAATTTCTCATCATCCAACTCAGATGCATCAAATTTCCCCAGAATCCAGCTCAGACCCTTTAAATTTTCCCAGAATCCAGCTCAGATCCTACAGATTTCCCCATTATCCAGCTCAGACACTTTAAATTTCCCCAGAATCCAGCTCAAATCCTTTCAATTTCTCCATAATCCAGCTCAGATCCTACAAAATTCCTCATAATCTAGCTCAGTTCCCATAAAACTCCCCATAATCCAGCTCAGATCCTACACAATTCCCCATAATCCAGCTCAGATCCTGCAGAATTCCCTGTCCAGGGGATCTCAGGCCAAACTCTTCCCACCAAGACAAAGTCCAGCCCCGATGTCCCTTGAGCCTGCCAGAATAAATAATTGACAGCACCAAAGAGGCTGGAAAAAGACCCAAATGTGGAATGGAATTCCCAACCCCTGCTGCAAATCCCCCCTTTTCCCTCCCACCTGGTGGATCTTTCCCAGTTTTTCCCTTTCTCCTCCCAGCAGAGCTGCTGGGGGAGGGGGTGGAGGAATCAAAGGAGGGTCCTGGTGTCCCATGAGGTGAAAAAAAAGGGGGGGGATGGGATGAAATCCTAAAAAAAAGGCGTTTTCCCAGGTATCCACTACGTGGGGGAGATGCAGGAAGGTTCCATCACCCACTTCGTGGTGGACCAGTTGACTGAGGGTCAACTGGAGTGGGTTCCTCTCCCGGCTGTCTACGACACTGTGGTCTTGGGGGATCCTGGCTCTGGTAGGACCTTCCGGATTCGTGCCGGCAAGGAGGAATATTTTCAGGCCTTGAAAGAGCAATTTCCTGGGGAGGAAAAGGCCATCGAGGAGTTCCAGCAGCTGATGAAGGTCAGAGGAGGATTTTGAGGGGGGGGGGCTGTGGGGTCATTCCTGCAATAACCATATTGGCCTCAGCCAGCCTCCAAAGTGTGGGAAAATGTACCCAAAATTTCCCCTTTCTGTCCCAAAAAGTCTGGAGTTTGAACCCTGCAGATGGTCATGTTCCCATGGGATGTGGGACACCTTGCTGGGGGGTCTGTGGTACCAGCAGCCCCACTCCTAGGGGTGGGGGAGACTTGGGATGGGGCCCCCAAAGGTGGTGGGGAGCTGGGATGTGGGGCTGGTGGTCCTGAGGGTGGTGGGCACCTGGGTCGGGGTCCCTGAGGGCGATGGGGAGGTGGGGCAGGGGGCCCAGGACGAGCAGGCACGTGTCCCCCCGCAGACCCTGCGCAGGGGGCCCACGTGGGTGGTCGCCCTGAAGATGGTCCCGCGCGCGGCGGCCGCGCTGCTCTGCCGCTCGGGGCTGCTGCCCCTGCTCAGCCCCTTCTGCCGCTTCGCCTCCCGCAGCCTGAAGGAGGTGGTGGATGGTCTCACCTCCAACCATGAGCTCTTGGCTGTCCTCAGCTACATCTTCCCCACCTATGGTAGGTAGCCATGAGGGTCTGGGATAGCGTGGAGGTGAATCATGGGGTGGTTTGAGTTGGAGGTTCCTTCAGGATCATCCAGTTCCAACCCCCTGCATGGGCAGGGACACCTCCCACCAGCCCAGGCTGCTCCCAGCCCCATCCAACCTGCCCTTCAACACTCCCATGAGTGACTCTTGCCATTCCTGCCCTGGGCAGCAGCTCAGCTGAGCACCAAATCCCTGCAGAAAAAGCAGGAAAACCCCCAGTTTGTCACTGTCAGTAAGAACCCAACTGGTAGGAATAAGAACCCAACTGATAAGAACTGAAGTGCTGGTACAGAAACTCCTCACACAGGGGAGAAAAAAAACCCCACGTGGAGCAAAGGCTCTAAAATGTAAAGTAAACTTTTATTATCCTTGAACCACAGGGCCAGGGCCTGACAACCCTTTCCATGGAGAAATTGTTCCCAAGATCCAACCTCAACCTCCCCTGGGCAACTTGAGGCCATTTCCTCTTGTCCCATCACTTGTTCCTGGGGAGCAGAGCCCGACCCCCCTGGCTCCAACCTCCTCTCAGGCAGTTGCAGAGCAGAAGGTCTCCCCTCAGCCTCCTTCTCTCCAGGCTGGACACCCCCAGCTCCCTCAGCTGCTCCTTGAACACTTCCAGGAATGAGAATCCTCAAAAACCAACTCACCCTCCACTGCCCTTTTTTTCCAGGTGTGGTCCCCTCCAAGGCCAGTTTCTCCTTGCACAGCATCCTGGTCAACCACTTCCTCCGTGGTGCCTGGTACCCCAAAGGGGGGGCGGGGGAAATCGCCTTCCACATCATTCCTGTCATCCGGAAAGCCGGAGGGGATGTGCTGGGGAAGGCGCCGGTGCAGAGGATCCTGCTGGATTCCCAAGGCAAAGCCTGTGGTGAGCACTGGGTCCCCAGGGGCAGACGTGGCTTCCTGGTTTCACACGGAAACTGACGTGTCCCCCCGACCTCTCTGTGTCTCCCCCTTCCAGGCGTGAGCGTCCGGAAAGGCCAAGACCTGGTGAACATCTTCGCTCCCATCGTCATTTCAGACGCCGGGATCTTCAACACGTACGAGCGGCTGCTCCCCAGGGAGGTGCAGGCCCAGCCCGGTAACACGGGGAGGGATGGGAGGGATGGGGGGGTCACTCACCTCCCCACGCCCCCCCGGGGCCGGGGCACAGGGCGGCTGCTGCTCGGTTGGTTCTTTGGCAGCAGCAAAACGGGGCTTGAGCGGGGGGGGAAGGGTCTCCATTGGCTGGGGAAGGGGCTTGGGGGGGAAGGGGAGGGCTGGGTGGGAACTGCTGTCCCACCCCTTGAGCACACACGGGACATTTTGAGATAAAGCTGCTTCACAGGTGGAGATGGGGGCGAGGCAGGAAGGGTGGGGTCATCCTGGGAGGAACCACCTTTCCCGAGCAGTCCTGCCCCACAATCCCAATTTTTCCCCCTTCCCTCCGTGGGGCAGAGGTCCAGGCTCAGCTCCGTCTGATGACGCACGGCGAGGGGGGCTTCACCGTCTTCGTGGGTCTCAACGGCTCCAGGGAAGAGCTGGGCTTGGAGGCCACCAACTACTTCGTGTACCAAGGGAATGACCTGGATGGAATGTAAGTTCAACACTCTGTGAAGCGTGAGGAGATGAATTCCTGGGTGGTGACTCAGCAAATGCTGTTGGTGGATCTTCAACAAGCATTCAGGTGGAGGTTTTCACCAAGACCTGCCCCACACCCTCGTGCCTCTCTGCAGAACAAAGCGCTACCTGGCTTCTTCCAGAGAAGAAGCTGCCAAGAACATCCCTCTCCTGTTTGTCACCTCCCCGTCAGCCAAGGACCCCACCTGGGAAATGAGGCACCCAGGTAAAGGCTGAAGCCCAAGAGCTGCTTGAAAGTCCTGTTGGGTTTTGGGTTGTCTGGTGGCTGCAAATGAGGAGTTTCTCCTAAAATAGCCATGGTCAAAGGTTGCTTATGGGAAGTGGTCTTCAAGATCACTGGAGGAAGGATATGGGAGTGCAAAGACCTGGGGACATCCCAATGGGGAGGGTTGTGGGAGGGAAATGTTGGCAGGAGAGTGGGCAGAGGGACAAGGGCCCCAACCCTGTCCTGCTGCAGGGCAGTCCACGCTGGCCGTCGTCACCTTCGCCAAGTACGAGTGGTTTGAGGAGTGGAAGGACAAGCAGGTCCATAAACGGGGAGATGATTACGAGGAGCTGAAAAAGACCTTTGTGGACACGATCATGCAGTCTGTCTTCAAGCTATACCCTCGCATTGAGGACAGGGTGAGGACACCTGGGGCCTGGGGGGTCGTCCAGCTCCTCTCCTGGGTCCCATCTGCCCCATCCTGCAAACGTAGCAGCTGGGTCCATGTCTGCTGGACGTGAGGTCCAGCACCTCATGCAGCCTCCTGACTACACATGGTGCCAGGATGGGGATGTTGGTCCTCCAGGACCAACCTAGGACCAAGGTGGGCCAGAAGCACCACCCAAGGGTCTGCAAGCCAACCCGTCCCAGCCCATAGCCCAAGAAAAGAGCTTTCTGGAGCACAGGACACCCCAGGCCATCTTGTTTACCCCCTGTAGACCACACTGTCCTCTTGTCCCCTCTCCCCAGATCGAGTACCTCTCCAGTGGGACGCCCCTCACCAACCAGCACTACATCGCCAGCCCCCGCGGGGAGTTCTATGGTGCCGACCACGGGCTGGCCAGGCTGCAGGCCATGGCCATGGCCACTGTGAGGGCACAGACCCCTGTGCCCAACCTCTACCTGACAGGTACTGTGGTCACCACCTTCTCAGATGAGGACAGCTCTGGGGGAGCAGGATGTGGGGGGAAAAAACCTTTGATCCCTCTATGAAATAAGGGCAGGAGCTGCTGGGTCATTGAGTCATGGGGTGGGTTGGGTTACAGGGACCTTAAATCCCATCCAGTCCCAACCCCTGCATGGGCAGGGACACCTCCCACCAGCCCAGGCTGCTCCAAGCCCCATCCAACCTGCCCTTCAACACCCCCAGGGATGGGGCAGCCACAGCTTCCCTGGGCAACCACTTCCAAGATCTCACCCTGGTACTGGAGGTACCTACTAGAGGTATCTGAAGGTACTTCAGGCACTGGAAGCTGCTCTAAGGTCTCCCTAGAGCCTTCTCTTCTCCAAGCTCAACACCCCAACTCTCCCAGCCTGTCTCCAGAGCAGAGCTGCCCCAGCCCTCCCATCATCTCTGTGGCCTCCTCTGAACTCTCTCCAACAGCTCCATGTCCTTATGTTGGGGACCCCAGAGCTGGACCCAGCCCTGCAGGGGTCTCACCAGAGTGGAGCAGAGGGGACGATCCCCTTCCTTGACCTGCTGGTCATGCTCCTTGTGACAGCCCAGGTCGCAATTGGCTTCCTGGGCTTCTGTCTCTGCCATGATGGAGCATGTTCAGGGAGCTGCGTGGTCCCAGTGGGAAGAGGAAAGGGCTGGACCTTCTCCACCTCCTGGACATGATCTTGCCCAGCGCTGAGTTACTTGAGTGGGGCAGGATGAGGCCCTTTCCCCCCTGGGAAGAAGGAAGTGGTCCAGCAGGGAAGGGTTTGGTGCCTCCAGACCACGGCTGGCACTAGGGGCGGTGAGAAGGTGGCATCCAAACCACTGAGGATGTGTGGATGGAGAGCACGAGGCAGCCCCCAGGGGACCATGGGCCACCACCACCTCCTGCTCTCTTCCAGGGCAGGATCTGTGCCTGGGGGGCTTCACGGGAGCCCTGCAAGGGGCCCTCATCTGCGCCAGCACCATCCTCAACCGCAACCTCTACCTGGACGCACTGCAGCTGAAGAGGTGCCTGAAGGCCACCAAAGCTGAGAAGAAGGACTAATGCAAGTCCTACCACCAGCCAGGACCTCCCTCTGTCCCCCCAACCCCCACATCACCCCTAATGCAAAGCTGCAGGGTTGGAGCCTTGGAAGACACCATTCCTGGTCCTGGCCCACTCACCTTGGACCTGGCCCACCTCCAGCTCACCTCCTCCCAACCCAACATCCACCACTAGCAGGGAAAAGCCCACAATGATCCATGACCATGCTCTTGAGGGCAAATCCTTTCTCCTGGTGTAGG